AGGGCGATCACTCCTTTTCAGCCCTGTCCCTTATCTCTAGCTGATGGCGAAGAAAATAAGAGAAAACCCTAGGCTGGGTGCACAGATAACAGAAGTCTGGGCAGATCCGATTTGCTCAGTTTAGCTTTGATACCATGTTAGTGTTCGGTCTGCCAATTAGACTGACAACAGTCAAGGAAGAGAGAGAGAAGAGAGGTGAGAAAGAGAGAAAGGAGAAGAGCAGAAGAGAAACAAGGAGAAGAGATTCTAGTTCGAATGAGAGAAAAAGTTCACTCTCCCATTCAGCCAGATGTATTTTACATTACTAGAATAATGTGGAAAAGTCACATATGCCCCTACTTAAGTTAGGGACATTAAACCTAACATAAACTTACACTTCAACACCTAAACACAAGCACAAAGACAGAATTACCCCTACATACTCGACACTAACAATAATGAACAAATTCTACAATTACATGACTGGTTGTCTTTTTTATGTGGGCAATGTAGGATGGAAAGGATTATTATCTTACAGAATCAGGAAGGTGTGCTATTGAGGCGGTTTGATTTGAAAAGGAAGAGAGAAAAAATGAGATCCCCCCTTCCGCTTCGACAAGATCCCCCCCCCCCTTTCTGCTAATGTTATGTATCTTTATTCTTCTTAATATAAAAGATTTTTATTAAAAACAAAGAAAAAATGATATCCCCCCTTCCTCTTCATCCTCCTCCTAACCCCCCTCCTCTTAAGGAGGCTCCTCCTTGTGTTTGGGAGGCTTACGCCTCTTGCGTTCTGAACTATGCCCCACACCTCTAGGTAGTGGAACGCCTCCGCGTTTTAAAACATTGGTCATGGTTTGTCTGTTGAATATTCATCATAAAGAGATAGCTGTTATCAGGTATTACCAGGTTAGACCTGATTGCCCCGATTAATGATTGGTTCAGTACTGGTTCCAAATTCATAGACCCAATAAGGTCTGATTTGGTAGCGGATCTGCACATTTTTGTACTCAGTTTGGGACTGCTCTACCATGTTCTGAACCAGACCTGGCCCATTGACAGTCCTATATTAGACAGCAAGGTTGGCGACTGTTACTCTGATCTAAAAAGACTACTAATATAGTTAGAAACTCTAGGACAAACTAACTTAAGGCCCAAGTCAACAAATGAATCCCACCCCAATTTAGATAACTACTAGGAACTATCACTTCTAGACTGATAAGTCCGCTTTGAATCTTGAGAATCTGAGCTGGTTCGAGGGAGCACACCCTCCTGAAACGGAGTAGAAGAGTGGAAGAAGAGAAAGGAAGGAGTAGAAGAGGAGGGAAGGAGGAGAATATTAGAGTTTTCTTTTTCATCCGGAATAGATGGGGGTTACAATTATTTATACTCTCTCTTCAGTCTCTCCTGCACATGGACTAGACTGCGACTGCTAACCAACTGGAGGGACGTGGCCTCCTCACGTAAATGAACCTCAGTGGAGGTTGCACATGGGTGATCGGGTGTTTCTTTCGTGCCGGACCTGGTTGCTGTGTGTCTTGGCCTGGGTCTCATGTTGTGGGCCCAAATGGGTAGTTGGGGCCTATCAGTCCCACCCTCTTCAAGAAACACCTTGTCCTCAAGGTTGATGTGGGGATACTGATCTTGTAGTTTGACATAGTCCTTCCAAGTGGCATCTTTCTAGTGGCAACTTTTTCCACATGACTAAGGCCTGCTTGTGTAATTTCCTGCCTATCTTGACCCATCTTACATTTCTGATTTGTTGTGGTTCAATCAGTATATCCTCGTCTTCTGTGAATTGCGGAAGGGTCGGGCTGACCATAGTTGTAGTGCTTAGGCAAGGCTTCAGCATACTGATATGGAAAACCGGATGTAATTTCGAGGAATCAGGAAGCACTCATGTGTAAACCACCTGTCCCACTCGTTCAATCACCATGAATAGGCCAAAATACTTAGGAGCTAGCTTCTGCCAAACTCGTCGGGCTACTGAAGCTGGCCGGTAAGGCTGGAGCTTCACAAATAGACCCAATCCCCCACTGCAAATTCAAGCTCCCGGTGATTGCGGTCGTAGGCCAACCTCATGCGCTGTTGTGCTCTCTGCAAATGCGATTTAAGGAATCTCAATATCTCATCTCTGCTCAGCAACTGGTTTGCTACCTCAGCCACTGTAGAAATCCCCTTTTTATATGGCAGCACTGCTGGAGATTCTCTCCCATATACTATCTTAAACAGAGTGATTCTCTCCCATATACCAATATTCTGCCCACGGCAGCCAGTAGGCCCACTGTTTGGGCTTCTCCCCAATGAAGCAACACAAATACGTTTCAAGCCACCGGATGACCACCTCGGACTGCCCATCAATCTGGAGCTGGCAGCTGGTTGTGTGGAGAATGTCAACACTATCTACTTGCAAAAGCAAATCAGCTGTTGAAGAGCTTCTAGTGTGCAATTCATCAAAAAGCCACCGATAAGGGTTAAGACAAAAAACTTGTAGGAACACACTACCCAATGTGGGCCCCGTAAACATGTTTGTCTTGAATCTAGGCAAAACCACTGTAGAATGAATTACGGGTGGGTTTTCTCTGATATCATCAGAAGGCACTTCCTTCAAAAGAGTGAGGGCCAACTCTAAGAACTGGCATATGTGACCATGAGTTTTTGGGTTCCTCGAGATGTTGTGGATAAACAGGCCTTTACTTGTCTCAATAGATGGTCCTACTTGCCCGCCTCTTTGCGAGTTGCTGGATTCTTGATTGCAAGGAACCACACCCATAGGAAAATATCCATCTAACTCCCAAAAAATAAAAGAGAAAGGGACTCAAATTACCTTCTTTGGTGAGGGCGTAGCTGAGGCAGGGACAATGACGACAATGACAAATCTCTTCTTTGTAGCAACAAGACAAGCACTAATTAATCCAACTCCAAACTGCCTGAGCATACTCACAACAACATCCACCCAGATATAGGATATGGCACCACTGGAGATGCTAGAATGGACAAGGTGAACAACGACTACGTTAATGATGCTTGGATTCTCACCATTACCTATCATTCCACCCTTTCGTTGTTGACCTGTGTCTAGAGGTCCTGTTGGAACCAAAACCTAAACCATTGAGTCTGGCTTAGCTATTTCTACTTCACTATCAATGATCGAAAGAATCTGCCGACACCGTAACATCTTGGTGGAAGCAAGCACACGTCCAATGTGATCTTCATTTTCAAAGGTTCCGTGACCACCGGGCTTAACTTCAACAATGAACCAGAACTCATGGTCACTAGGGAGCAAGGGTGTGTTCACCGTTACTAGTCTGTCATTAAGCAATCTCCTTACCGCTTGAATTGTATTGAAAATAATAATTCGGACTGTGAGTGGGATCGAAGGATGCCAAGGGACGCTGTACAGAGGAGGGTCCCACCCACTAAAGTGGAAGGGAAAAAGAACAGGGATCTGTAAAACTGGAGGGTAGGCAGAGATGGGTTTCAGGTAGCATGGTGAGATGGGTCGGGTTATGGTTGCTGCCAACGAAAATGATGACCAGAGGTTGAGCAAGTGAGGCGGACCTTGGCTGGGTATGGACAGGCTCGATTTAAGGGAGAGAGTGAGAGGGAAGAGAACAGGGACCAGGGGTCGAGCTACATGGATAACGATGGATGGAGTGACGAATTGACTAGGGTTGGGATGCTGGTAGATCTCGGTTGGGGTTATAATCTTCACACTGCCCTTCTGAACCACCTCCCCTATTCTGTCACCTAACATCGCTGAGCTCAGTGCTAGGGTTGAAGTCTCAACTTCTGTTGATGATCTTGCTGTAGTTATTGGTTTTCCTACGCTCTCTATCAGCTTCGATCCTCCATCTTCTTCAGAATGAGTGTTGACATAAGGAGCTCAGAAACTACGCTCTTCTAGAGAACCAACCATCGTGCCAAGCTTGTCTAAGATCATCTTCAGCTCGGCCAGAATCCCTTTCTGAATCCTCTGATTTCTCTCAAGACGACTGAGACTATCTTCAAGCCTGGTCAGCCACGCATCCATGGATCTGGGTGGCTCTGATACCAATTGATAAGTCCGCTTTGAATCTTGAGAATCTAAGCTGGTTCGAGGGAGCACACCCTCCTGAAACGGAGTAGAAGAGAGGAAGAAGAGAAAGGAAGGAGTAGAAGAGGAGGGAAGGAGGAGAATAGTAGAGTTTTCTTTTTCATCCCAAATAGATGGGGGGTTACACTTATTTATACTCTCTCTTCAGTCTCTCCTGCACATGGACTAGACTGCGACTGCTAACCAACTGGAGGGACGTGGCCTCCTCACGTAAACGAACCTCAGTGGAGGTTGCACATGGGTGATCGGGTGTTTCTCTCGTGCCAGGCCTGGTTGCTGTGTGTCTTGGCCTGGGTCTCATGTTGTGGGCCCGAATGGGTAGTTGGGGCCTATCATAGACAATCTTAAATGCTTCTCTAAAGACATTAACAACTCTTTAATTATTATAATTATAAACTTAAAATAAAGGAAAACTGTCAACTAATTCAAATCTGGCAGAAATTACAATGCTGTCCCTTCCAAATCTGAGAGCAGTCACTTTGTGCAAAAAATGCCAAATGTTAGGACCATATCCAGTCTACCCCTCCCAAGGCCCTAGTTAGCAGGGACCAACATCGGGTAATGGCATCTACTAAATTCTTTTATGTGACCAAAAGGCTTCAACCTCACATGCCTTCACATCCTCTTAAGATCACCAAAGCATGTGGTCCCTCTAGGTGCCTAATGAGCCCCATGTGAGAAAACACATTTTTGTCTGCAACTTAAAAAGTCATAGATCCAGACATCGGTGGTTCTATCATGTGGTTCTCTAGATATCCCTATTTGCCAGAGAAACAATGTCATGTCATAATATGAACAACAGTACAGAAAGATTTAGGCTTCTCTATGTAATCTCTTGGTTATTTTTGAGTATCAAATGTACAACTACAATCAGTAGCAAATGATTAATTGAGATCATTAGGCTAAAATTAGAAATAGTAAATACCTCACTAGCCATCAACTTGCGGACATTATTAGCATAAAGTTTTGGATCCTCTTTTTCTTGCTCTGAAGGGTGGTACACAGGTAATCTTGTCACCTCAATGTGATTCACAAATTGACAAAGAAGCAAAATCACATGGCGTACCTGAAAATAATATAAACACTAGATCTTCAAATATCATTCCAAATAAAGGCATCTAATCATGGATGGCATAACAACAACAAAATTGAAAAAGCTATTAGCGATATTTGGAGCACAGGTAACATTGATGACAAAAAAATCAGAAATTAGAGGATAAGAAACCACAAGGGCAACGAAAAGAGTTCATTGATTCATGCCAAGTGTTAAAGGGTTACCTGTGTTTGGAAGTCACTTGCTCTCTTTAAGTATTAGACATGTAATACCCATTTAGGTTTTGATAGCATATCTTCTATGTAGTTGTATCTTTGTGTTATAAAAGGGGAGATACCAACAACATATGAATTGCCCAAATGGATGTGGTATCCTTCCATTTGAATTGCCAAATATACATCTCCAGGGCATAAGAATGATTGGCCCCAGGCCCAAGAGTTCAACTTATCCTATATTGAGAGAAAATAAACCTAGGAATCTAGTCTAGCGGTAGAATTTTTGCAGGGAATGCATACTGATAGCATTCACCATGCTGGACATGTGGATAATAAAACAAAAAGGGACTAATGAGTAATGACATTCTTCAACATCTCAGGCTGTCTTTCCTTTGGGGCAATTCAGATTCACATGGTCAAACCTCCAAGCAAACCCTATTTGCTCCAAACTAGACAGATTTCTTCTATCCTTGGATTGGGAAGAACATTGGAGTGGACTTCTGGGTAGGATTCTGCCTAGAATTACCTCAGATCACTGGCCTATTTGCCTTTTCCAACAGAGTGCTTTAGGAGGTCCTTCCCCATTTAGATTTGAAAATATGTGGCTTTCTTATCTGGAGTTCAAGGATAAGGTAAGAGAGTGGTGGGAAATACAGCTTCAATACCCGAAGTGGGAAGGGCCAAAATTCTTGAACAAATTACAGAGGCTAAAAGAGGAAATTAAAGAATGAAATACAGTGAAGTTTGGGAGGTTGGAGGAAAAGAAAGCAAGTTTGACTCTACAAATTGAGAATATTGATAGAAAAGAAGAGGGGTCATTAGAAGGGGACAGAGAATTGAGATGGAATCTGAAAAAAGAACTTGATGAAACCCTCTTGAGGGAGGAAACCTGTTGGAAAGAAACTAATATATAGAAGGCCTATCAATGAAAGATGGTCGGTGGAAGGAGAGAAGCTTAGAGGTGATAATTGATTGCATTACTCTTAAAGTATCTAATTGGGTAAAGAACTTTGAAACTATTTTCAGACTTTGGAGTGGAGGATATTATCTAGAATCGGGGGGCAGTTGCGAGCTCTTCCTCAAGGAAACAGAAGATTCTAGAGGTCTGGTCTCCCCCAATGGTTGGTTGGAAGAAGCTGAACTTTGATGGTAGCAGTATGGATAATCTAGGTCCTTCAAGTATTAGAGAACTTATTAGGGATGATGGAGGCAACATTAATGCCTTATTTTCAAGCCCAATTGAGCAAGGTAATTCAGCGAAAGCAGAACTCTTGACAGCAGTTTATGGGGTAGAGAAGGCTAAAGAACTGGGAATTGATAGCTTGCATGATTATTGAAGGGGATTCGAGCATTGTTGTGGGATGACTTGGGAGCTAAGGAATGATTTCCATAGATTTTTGTGGTTGTCAAAAGACATGATCATCCAAGTCCGTTGGGTTAGAAGGTCTGCTAAGAGCTTGGCTGACAACTTAGCCAAGCAAGGCATTCAAACACAATTTATGTATTGGGCTCAATTGTAATATGGGTTGGGGGGTCTGCCTAGTATTTGGCATGCTTTTTGTTCACAACTCCTTGTTTTGTCTTCTTCCTTTAATTTAATAAATCTATTCTTTGTGGTTGCTGATTAAAAAAAAGCTTGTTGTGCCATTTTTTGTTTGGAGAAAGGGGCAATGGAATGCAACTCATCTACATTTATTGGGTGGCTTCAGAAAAGAAATGCATAGTGCAAGGAGACACCACGCTGAACATGTGGATTTTAAGACACAAAGAGGTGCTAGTAACATTTCTTCACATCTCATATTGTCTTTATCTTTTTTTCTTTTTTAATATTCTTCAAGGTCTTAGATTGTCATTTACTTTCTGTTTGGAGAAAGGGGCCTTGTAAATGAAATTATGGAAAGTAACAGATCTACATTTATTAGGAGGCTTCAGAATTCAAGAAGCTCCTGAAGATGGATATACTTCATTATAAAGGCTCACTGAAGATGGATATACTCCCTGTTTAATTGTTTGAAGCTGTTTTTCTTCTTAGTTTAGTATTGTTGGCTGCTCCAGGGTTCCCTTTATGGCTTTCTATTGCTTTGTATCCAGATTTCCTTCCTCTTCTAAGTCAAAAAGAAAAGAACAAAGCAAACTAGGGTTTTCCCTTATGACTTTGACTTTCTTTTCTTTTCCCTTTACAAGTAAAAGAAATGCATTACTACACAAAAGGAGGGGCAAAAGAGACCACCTGTACAAAAAATAAATGGCCTGTTTACAATGAATCGCCACAAAAAAGAATACAAGCAATAGCTAGGAATAAAAAATAGAGTAAATTACAGATAGCCACCCGGTACTTGGGGGTGGTAACACTTAGACCCTGAACTTTATTTTGTTAATAAACTACCGATCATTGCAGAAACTGAGGAAATTCATCCTATCAAACTCCTTGAGAATAGAAGGCTGACTGTTTTCCTTTCTCCTCACTGATGCTTCTTGTTCCCTTGTGACTAAAATCTGGGAGTTCTTCAATTCTCTCTTTGGAAAGCCACAACGGCAACGGTTTGTTGGGTGGTGCAGGAAGAAAGAAATAATAGAATATTCTTGCAGAATAGGACTCAGGAGGAAGTGACTGATAGTATAAAATTAAAGGTAGCCTTTTGGGTAAATGCCTTAGACATCTTCAATTCCTTCTTGATAACTGACTTCTCAAGGGCTTGGGCTGAAATAGAAAAATCTTCAAGAGCCAAGGACAAAGTTTGGATGGAGTGGAAACCCTCAATAGGTAATAAAGTAAAATTGAATTTTGATGGGAGCTCCCTCAAATAGGGTTGCCACTTGGGTGGGGGGTGGGGGGTGGGGGGGGAACCCGAGCCCGGACCAACCCAACCTGCAATTCTACACAAGCTGGGCTTAAATTTTTTATCCTCGGGCTGGGTCCGGGCCCAAAAGTTCAGGATTTTAAATTTTTCAGGTTGGGCTCGGGCCTAGCCCTTAGGAAGCCTGAACCTGGCCCAACCCGGGTCGATTATTTACATGTGTATGTGTATGTGTATGTGTATGTGTATGTGTATGTGTATGTGTATGTGTATGTGTATGTGTATGTGTATGTGTATATATATATACACGTACTTGCATGCATACATCTACACACACATGTATATCAATTTTTAGTGTGGGCTAATTGACCAACTCAAGCCCAACCTGAGTCCAGCCCAGACCCGACCCCAACCCAAGTGCATCAAATTTTAATGCGGGCTGGGCTCGGCCAGGCTCGGGCTTTAAGTCCAATTCTTAGGGTTGGGCTTGGGTTGAACTAAAAGTCTAAAACCCGGCCCAGCCTGCCCAATTTGCATCCCTACCCTCAGAAACCAAGATATGGCTGGAATAGGAGGGGTTCTTAGAGATTCAGAGAAGAGGATTGTGGCAATGTTTTCAGGGCCAATCGGGTGGGGAAACTTCTTGAAGGTTGAACTGTTGGCTCTTCTGCAAGGTCTCAGGCTAGTTAAATAGTTGGGATTCATAAGGATTGAAGCTGAAGGGACTCACAGGTTGTTATAGCTTAGGAAAAACCCAACAGGTGTATTCCCTGGACCCTTTAGCATGTGCTAAGAGAAGTGGAAAAGACTGCAAGAGAAATAGAGGTTGAAGTCAAGTGGGTTAGGAGGAGTGCAAATGGATTAGCTGACTCCTTAGCCAAACAAGGGGTTATGACTTGTGAGGCAGCATTTGTTTTGAGCATAATTGTAACTTGAGCTTGTAAGAGGGATCGACACTTTGGCCAATCAAGTTGTATCACTCATACTTTACAAGTTAATATAATAAGCCTTACCTTTGCTGATTAAAAAAACAAAAAAAAAATCCTTGAGAATAGAAGCCTAAAAATAGATCAAGCACTTCCAGCTTGCCAAGAAGAATCTTTGGTTCTTATTTTTTTTCTTTCAAAATTCCTATTTCCTCTCCATGCATGAATTCAAACAAATAGCTACAAGTCAGATTCCAAAGAATGTAGTCCTACTTGCTAAATCCCTTAACAAGCTAAGCCGGGATCAAAGACAAGACAATGCCTGGAATAACCCATTTCTTCCCAAGCAATTTGATGAAGCAGGACCCCATTATAGTGGGGAAAAAACATGATGGAATTGTATTGATACTGATTTTGCAAGTCACTCTTCCCAGAGCAATTATTGCCAAGATTTTATTCAAGTATACCATGCTTTAATAGTGAAGATATTCTATTCAGGCTATATCAATTGCCAGTATTCTATTATTACCAGTCCAAACTATCATTCTGTGGCTAGATCAAGGTCACATCTTAGCCAATTGATTATATGCCACTCTAAAGGCTTTTTATTTAAATTGAACCATAAACTGTCAAGATGCAGAAGAAATAACAAGAAGTAATTTGAAGTGGTGATGCTGATTTTTATCATGTTGGCCATATTAAATTGTCCCAACAGCATTTAGCAAGACCATATCTGTGTTACCTGATGTCCTTTTAACCAAGCATCACATGTTTGCTACTTACTACTACTCCCTAGAAATCACAGAAATTTCATACACCCTAAATTGGGCATTGTAATGTAAATTCAGAGTTTCCATTAAGGATTGTACCAGTCCTAAATGTACTATTTAAACAGATTCTTCAAAAAGAACATTTGTAAGAATTTTAATTCATGTATCATATTTCAAAAGTACCAGCTCAATAGAACATCCAGCCTTGTTCCACTGTATAATAGAAATCAGATATAAAAGTTTAGAAACATTTATATGACATGAAGTATGAATGGCTCAATGGCTGCATACCCCAGATATGGAGTCCCAAGCTGGACTGAGTCTCTTGTATGGATATCTTAAGATCACTGGAAGCACTGGGGCCTTTGATAAAAAGGCACCAGTCTTGAACGGGAGGAGAAAGTCCCCATTTGTGGTTGTGCCCTCTGTAGTCAATAACAAATTATCAATCAACAAGTGACAAATGATAATGCAGAAAAGCACCTGTCTGGAAAGTGAACAATGATCTAACTCTGAAAAATAGAAGGCAGAAAGAAGTTTAAATGCTTAACAATTAACATCTTGAAATGGTGATACTCAAGTTTCAACTAGCAATATTTGGTAGCACTATATTGCCTACTCCCCTGTCCCTTTAATTAGATCTTTTGTTTGGTTTACCTTAAAAGTAACAAGAGCAGGAAAGCTACATCATTGAGCATATTATAATAATTGATTTATGTAAAACATGATTAAAAACTTAGAAGAGAAACGTACAGATTTAACAAGTTCAGAATCGGATAAAATGCACAAGCATGTATTAACAAGGGCTGTCACACAAAATTCAAAAATCTAAGCAGAAAGGCTCTGATCCCCTGTCAAACAGTTTAAACAACCCATATGAACAAATAATGAAAAGATAGTGTAAAGCATTAAATACCTCTTTTTGTACCATAATGCTGAGAAAGGAAAAAAAAAAGTTGGCTCTATTAGGTAAGTGGTTGTGAAGGTTTCCATTAGAAAAAGAAAGTTCTGAGCTAAGATAGTAGTTAGTATTCATGGGCTTGCAAATAATGGATGGGACTCTGGGATTTTGGCTAGGACTACAAGAGCATCACCTTGGAAAGCAATCCAAGCTATCCTGCCCTTGTTTTCACCCTGGATCAGGTATGACTTGCACTCATAAAATCTTATCAAGTTTTGGGAACAGGTTTGGGTTGAGGGTTCTCCTTTGAAAGACCCATTTCCAGCCCTATTTGCTACCTCTAACTTTAAAATAAACCTATTTCCACTTTCCTTGTACTCTCTGACTCAAATTCTGGGTTTGGATGGAACTTGGGTTTGAGAAGAGCTATCACGGACACAGAGTTGGACAGTATTTTGACTCTCTTGAGCATCCTTGATGGGGTTTTCTTGGAACCCACAAAGCTAGATAGCAGAATTTGGACCCCTCTCCTTCAAGTTCTTTCACTTGTGCTTCCTTCTTTAAAGCCCTAATTCAACCGATTATCCCTTTTGGGTTGTCATTCCCTATTAAACAAGTTTGGTGTCAGCCTATCCCACCAAAGGTTGAGAGTTTTTGTTGGGAAGCTTTCTTGGAAAGAATCAACAAAGGAAATTTGCTTCAAAGAAAGAGACCCAACAGATGTTTATCTCCTCATTGGTGTGTTCTTTGTAAAGCTGATGGTTAGTCTGGTTGCCACTTACTAGTATCCTACCAATTTGCAAAAAATAAAAAATAAAAAATATTTGGGAATGGTTTACTTCTTTGTTTGGGTGCAGGTGGAAGTGGAATCCCCCACTAAATGTGCGAAGCTTGTTTACTTCCTCTTCCTTCAACTGGCCAACGAAAAGAGGAAAGATTATGTGGAGATATGTACAGGTTGTTGTTTGCTGGACTATATGGGAAGAAAGAAACTCAAGGATTTTTACAGACAAGGAGAGAAGATTAGAAATTGTGCTAGAAGTGATCCATGTAAAGGTGATACATTGGCTGAAATCACTGGAATTGTTCACAGAATTTTCACTGGATGATTTGCTAAGAAAATGGAAAGAAATTGCTAGTTCAGACCCAGTTAAGAAGACCTCAAGTCCTTTATGGAACCCCTCCACAGGGCTTTATTAAGCTGAATTTTGATGGTAATAAAATCCAGGGACTTCTGGTATTGGGGGAGTACTATGGAATGAGAAAGGAATGTAATAGCTATCTTCTCTGGCCCAATCAGAGTGGAAGACTCTCTTTGGGCTGAGGTACTAGCAGCTTTGGAAAGGGGTAAAAAGAGCTAAAGACCTGAATATTAATAAGCTGGTTATAGAAGGAGATTCTGAGATTGTAGTGGGCTGGTTAAAGGAAGACAAGTCTAGGCTCTAGAACTACAGCAATGAAAAGAGAAGGTTTAAGTGGCTGACTAAGGACATTTAAGTAAAAATGCACATGGGTAAAGAGAAGTGCTAATTCTTTCACAGATGGGTTAGCTAGGCAAGGGGTGAATAGGGATTCTGTTTTCTGGGCTCAGTTGTAATTGTTTTTTTTTTCTTCCTTTTGGGTGTTTTTCGACATCCTTGGGAAGTTGATGTAGTTTAGCTCCCCTCCCATGTAATTTAAGTTTATTCTATTAACAAAAATTCCTGTTATTGATAAAAAAAATAAGGATGATTATCGTGACTCAACTCAGCTCAGCCTTAATTCCAACTATTTGGGGTCAGTTACAGGAAAGCTGTCCTTTTTTATTTGTACTTACAGGAAAGCTGTCCTGCCATTTTGTTCTATAAAGAGCCAAAGCTCAAGATAGGTAGTCATATTGGATTTGGTTAAATGTATATAATATCTGCTGCTAACTTGACAGTTGACACAGCGCTCCTTTATCCAGGCTTGGGGCCAAAAAATATGATATAAGAATGTTTATCATGACATGGATCAATTAACAAAAGAAAATTAAGCAGCATGGTTTGCAAATATTGTTAAGATTTTGCAAAATCTCCCCATTGCACTAGGGATCAATACATAATATTCATAGAGCATTCTTTTTTTCTTCACATCCCAATATATCAGGGATATTTCAAATGCCATTGATAAACTAAACATCTAAGATTTAAATTTTAGAACATTGTTGAATCATTGGAAATTTTTGGAAACCTTTTCTAAAAAGAACAAATGGGGATTTTGTGATTGGATAACTGGCTTACCATTATGAATATGATTCACTTACTAAACCATTATAATTCAAAAAAAAAATAAAAAAAAAAAGGCAAACAACTAGAAAACAGGATTCTCAATCTAATCAAAACATATAATAACAAAAAAAGATAGAAATCAAAATGGCAAGTAAATGAAATATGTATAGAAGAGATGGCTAAAAGTCTAAAAGGGAGATAGATGCCTATTTAAGTTTCTTAATCTACCCTTATTTGATATATGCACTTGTTTGCTACAGGTTTTTTTTGAAAAAAAAAGGTAATTTTATTCAAGAACCACAACAAGCTTGTAGAGCAGGCTTCCACACTTGGAACCAAGGCTCCACAGGCTACAAGACACATCAGTTGCTCCACAAGTTTACATTTTGCAATAAGCCACCCCCCAGACTGATAAGAGAACTCCTTAGAAGCAGAAACCCAAAACCGAATTTTACCTATAGCTAAGCTAAGAAGCTCATCCTCTACCCTTCTCATATTGTGGAACACCCTCCTATTCCTCTCAGCCCACAAGGTCCACAGTCCACACAATATCAACAGGAATCATCTCCCGCATGAACTTACCCTTCCTACTCAAACCCTGGATTGGCCAAGCAAGAAGCACCTCACCTCATTTAGAAACCTAGATATCACCCAGTTCAGATTAGCAGTCCTTAAGAAGTGGACCCAAAGGCCACATGCTACCTTACAGTGGACAAGTAAATGATTAACACTTTCTGCATCCAGTCGACAGCCTGCAGGAACTATCCTGAAACTGTAAGCCTCTTCTAAGAAAGCTGTCCTTTGATAACACACCCCCAATTAGTGCCAACCACAACAGGAAACTGACCTTGGAAGGAACCAGGTGCCACCAATTCAACTTTCTGGGAAACAAGGAGTTTCTGGGAGCTCTCAAGTTCCTTTCATAGGATCTGACAGTAAACACATAGTTGCCTTCCCACTTCCAACACCACCCATCCTCCTGCCCTGCTTCAATAGTTATGTTTCCTCAACAATTGCAACAAGTCAAGCACCCCTTCCAGTTCCCAATCATGCATAATTCTCCTAAAATTTAGAGACCAAACCACTCCCAACCGTGCCTATTTCTCCTAATAATCCATTAATTTTTGTTACCAAATTCCATGCTTTTATTAATTGTCCCTACTCCCTAATTTCTTCAGAGTTTCCAAATATCTTATCAAAATTTGCGCAATATCCTCAAAGTTCCCCATGTTTGCATGTTAAAATGCCCAATAGTATAAAAATAGCAAACCATGCTAACAAAACAACTTTTCTGGAGATGGGAGGACTGCCAACTGCAGCATATACAGTGATGTCAAGTGATTCATTCAATGTAAGGGGTTTCCAATACAGAGATGGAAATCATGGGATAAGGCTTCCCCATGGCAGGAGAGTATGTTAGGTGCACGACTCCCATTTTTTATTGGAAACGGTAACTTCATTAAAGCAAATTAAATATATATATATATATCATGTACAAATGTCAGCCCCTCAAATAGGGTGCTAAACCCATGATAATCCTTATTACAATTCTGCCCAGAACAGATTCTCCCTCATTGTCCCCTGTTTAGCTAAAGTATCAGCTAGGTCATTAGCTGACCTTCTAGTCCACTTGAAAGAAGCCCCAGTTTCCCTTGTTATGTTGAGGATTTCCTATATGGTGTGTCTATATATCCAAGCCCCCAAACAACCCAACTTCAGCCAATCAATGAGCAGTTTAGAGTCTCCTTCTATCTCTATTTAGTGTAGCCCCATCTGTTTGGCATATCTTACACCTTGAAGCAAAGTCATCACCTCCGCCCTCAAAGAGTCACCTACTCCTATTGGTCCTGAATACATAGTGACAATTTTACTATCTCCATCTCGGAATACTCCCCCAATACCTGTTAGCCCCTGAAATAGGTGCATGATATAGTGATGCAATTTTCTCCTTACTCTTATAAATAAAGAAATTGGTCTGCCTTAAAACCAGGACTAATGATATCTATTCTAGGCAGTAAATTGGACATCAATCCATAATTTCCAAAACCTTGACGAAACCCTAGTCAACAAGGTGAATTTTAAGTTACTCAAAAAATTGATCAGTTTCATTTTTTTTTTTTTTGTGGGTGAGGTGGGTTGGGGATAGGGAACATCCCAGCACCCTATATCCAGCCTCACCTTTGACCTTCCTGCACTATTTCCAGAAACAAATGAAGATAACAACAGACACCCAAACTCAACAAACATAGAATCAAAATAAATACAAAACTGAAACTGAGCCCCCAAAATCACCAAAAAGAGACTCCGAACTCACTGACCCTCAAGAATCATATGCTGCCCTTTGACCTCACTGACCCTCTCCATACACTGCCCTTTGACCTCCAAATACAACCCCCTCAAAAGGTCCTAACAAATCATGAGCGCACTCACTCAACATTGCCTTAGGTTGCAGTAGGACCCTCTGTACTTCTTTACCCTTTTTTTGGGTCCAATCCCAAATAATCCCCCTTTCAATCTGGTAAAAACTTTTGAAACAAGAACAGTCTGACAATTCTTCTAACTTCTAAATCTTTTAACTAGATTTGGGAGATTCTCATGAGCCTTTGAAACCTTAGAATTTTCATTAATCCTTCTAAAACCACTTTTTTTTTCAAAAATCTGTTCTGCCACCAACTCACCAGCCTCTTTAAGACCATCTCCACCTATTCCAACAGGCTTCAGATAATTGTTTTCAACATCATTTATTTCATTGCCACTATTCTTAGTATAAGCCAGTTCCTCTTTGCCCTTCTCTTTCGTAGGCATGCAATATTTTTCCTCCAACCTCCTAAAAGTTTTCCTTGCATACTCCTCCCCCCCCCCCAATAAATCTTGATCCCAATATTTTGCTCACCTCCACCTCTTTGTTTACCACCATCTCAAAATCAATAGATCATCCCATTTCACGAGTTTCATCAATGACAATTTCCTCCTCATTTGATCTCTGAGCTTCATTGGTTTGAACTTCTTCCACCTTATTTTCCTGCATCGATTTGGTCCTATACCCCTCCTTTTCCTTCTAAAAACTTTTGTGCAAGAAACCTCACACCCTTCTTTCTCTCTATTTTCTCTCCCTCCTTTATCAAATTCTTTCTCAACCTCCTGTTCCTCTGGACAGATCTCACCAGTTACCATTACCCTTTTCCTCCCCATCTCTTTCTTTTGATGCCCCAACTAAACCACCTTCAACCCTTTTCTGTTTTCCACCCCTATCTACACCACCATCAGTATTTCTCTTCTCACCCCCACCAAATACCTCCTTCTCACTCCCTTGTCTATTTCTTCCCTCCCCAAAACATTCATGAGCTTACCATTTGAATCATTCTCATCTGCTAGAGCCAACCCCCTCTCTTCCCCTCCTCTTTCCACCCTCTTCTTATCTTCTTCATGAGCCTATTCAGATTGGGATTAAGAGGATGAATCGTGTGGAAGTCCACAAGAGCAGTAGTTTTGTGGACTGTTTGGGAAGAAAGGAACAAAGCTGGACAAAGGAGGCAATGATTGACAGCATATCTGTGAAGGTGGTGTATTAGATCAAAACTATGGAAGACCAAAGACTTCAAAATATTCTCAGCAGATGAGAATTTAAGAAACTGGAATGAAATTGCAGCTTCCTCAACTTGTAGGAGAATACCCCAGCAGTCATGAGATCCACCAAGTAGCAACATTATCAAATTGTAGTATTGTACTTTGATGGAAATTCAATTGGCAATCTAGGACCTTCAGGGATAGGAGGTGTCTCTCATTGATGATAAAGGACATATGCGGGCACTGTCCAATTGGATAGATATTCCTTAAGGGAAGAGATAACATCTGTACTTCATTGATTGAGATTAGCCAAGCAATAGAAGTATAGAACTATAGGAAGATTGAGGTGGAAGGAGATTCACAACTTGTGAGTTGGCTGAACACTAATAGCCAAGGAGATTGGATTTATAGGCAAGTGCTGAGGGAGATTAGATGGATAGCAAGGGAAACTGTTCAGATGGGTGAGAAGATCGGCTAATTGTTATGCTGACACGTTAGCCAAACAAGGGATCAATAGGGAGCAAATTTTTCTGGGCATCAACATAATGTAATGTATTGTGATTTGGGTTAGGTATCCCTCCAGCAGCCGGCCTATATTAAGGGTTGCTTGGCATAGTGTAACAATTATTTCTGTTTTAATAAAGTTCCTATGTTAACAATCAAAACATATCAATTTAAGTAATTCAAAATTTATCTTACATACATGTAAAATACTAAAAATACAAGTTTTATAATAAACGAAACTTCTCAAGATCAAAGTAATTGATAAAAAGAATAGCAGGCATTATGTGAAGCACTAATGTATAATGTATTATTTAGCAAAACCCAAGCAGGGCACCGCACAACTATACAGATGTACTAGGATACAAGGATAACCTGGAAAAAGCATCATCATTGGAGCAAATTTATTCTGATGGGCTTTCTGAACTCTGTCTGTCACAACCCCTGCAAGCAAAAATACATACTTTTTAAGCATAAAAGACATTGCAAAAACTATTCATAAATAATAATAATAATAATAATAATAAACTATTACTTCCTATAAAGATCTCATTGTTTTTTGTCTTTTTACAATGGATGGCCTGGTATCATTTTTCATGCTGTCAGATAAGCCCTGAGATTGCATGAATTTGTGGCCCTCTACCAGGTTTATACTGTTTAGCAATCATTAACTTATGGTTGTTACCACCTATAAGGTTACAATATATTTGTCAAGTACAAAACTATTGAAGTTCTTCCATTACTTAGTAGGTTCCATACCTTCTTCCTCTTTCAATAAGTATCAAAGAAATTATTGCAATACTTATCAGGAAAAAATAAATGTCAAGTTGACAATAGTTACAACAATAATAATAATTGTGTTTGTATGTGTACATATCTAAATTAATTTACCTGAAACACCCTTAAAGTCAGATGATTTTGACTCCCGCTGGACATAGACACAACCAAGGCATTTGCTGTGGTTGGAACATGGAAAGAAAAAAGAAATCCTATTAGGCTCCATATTGTCAAATATTGCATACAAATATTCATCAAGTAACAAAGCTTGCGAATGAAATAGTCTAGAAAAACGATACAAGTTAGAAATATACATTTCTGGATGGATAGTTTAGTTTCATTCCAGGCGTAGAACTAAAAACCATCTATTTTCCTATCTCATATTCTTTTCCTCTTATTATCAACGACTCTCAATCAAAGCATTTTATAAATGGTAAGATGAAAACAAAGGGGAACTCCTGCACTTCAGGAGTTCAAAAACAAGGGACACTAAAACGGCATAAGCTGGTTCTTAACAAGAAAAAGAAAATGCAACTAACCTCCTCGATAAAATCCCTGGCCTGGTACTCCCCCCCCCCCAAAAAAAAAATAAAAAAAAAAAAAACATTTCTTACCACTCCTATTGTTAGTGCATCAGCTATGCCATTAGCTGTCCTAGAGATCCACATGAATGGGCTGCTCAGGCTACTTGCCAAGGCCTTCTCTCCATGATGTCTTAGGGTCCAAGGGCCCTCAATGTTGACAAGTCTCCAGCCAATGGCCATGCTACAGTCCCCTTCAATATCCAAGTTATTCTAACCAGCAAGGCAAGTTTAAGATCTTAGTGATGAAAAGAAGAAGTTCAGTTCTTAAGGAACTCCCTTCCCCTAGTGGCCCCAAGTAACTCACAATGATGGCTCCAATCCATTACCATTCTAAAAATACCTTCTACAACAGATGACCCCGAATTGCCTAATGAGCACCCATCAGAATTGAGATTTATCCTCCCATTCTCAGGTGGAGAGGCCTGAATGATGGATGGAGTATATAGGTCATAACCACCTCCACCTGCCATCCCCTAATGATGGAGTACATTGATAGTTTGATACTACCTTCAATTCCTCCCCTGTGGAGACCCAATGGCTTGCTGTTGATACATTAACCACATTATCTTTATTAAAAAAATCATGAGGTTTCTTTTATATCCCACTCACCATAAAATTGCTGCAATAGTAAACCTCCACATAACTTTACCTCTTTTTTATCAGAGAGGGAGAAACTGCCCAAAAAGAGCTCCAAGATATTTCCTGGTGGAGACCAGCAAGTACCAAAAAGAGGGACACAGTGGTTCCATATGGTCAATATAAACAAAATATCTTTAAATGATCCATTTCACGTGTATTGCCTCATGGAGCTATTGCTTGGTGCTGTGGTAAAATCTTTGGCTGACAGCTAAAAGTGTGATAATGGGGGTTAAAGTCTGAGAATGGCTATTTCATGCTAATATGCTGGAGGTTAGGTCCTTATCCAGTCCACCGCTCCCAATCCCTCAGATTGCAGGACCAGCATTGAGTAATGACCGTTTTCTGTATTGTATTCCCACAATGGAACATGAGCATGAGGAAAGGTTCATTTTGCAACTTAGAAAAGTCCAGTCAGGTAGAAAACAAATTTTAAACAATGCTTAGAGCATGGACAGTATTGGTGCAAAAAAAATTAAGTAGATTTCTCTCATGACACAATTCACCCAATTAAACTAGTAACTGAGTTTTTATAATTTGGGTAGCCCCAAATCAAGATGTCTTATAGACATTCCCTTAATTACATCTCTGCTAGAGGCAAAGACAACCTTTTGGTTCTAACTTAGAAGTGCAAATGAACAGAGTAGACTAAAAATATTCTAACTGCAGAATTTCCTATTGAAATTTCTGGTCTATATTCTCTCTTTAGTTTGAGGGAGAAAACACGAGTATATAGATGAAATGATGAATAATATTTTTATGTATACTAGTTCAAGATAGGGCCCCAAACCTGGCTTCAAATTTAACTACAAGAAGTTGCTATACCAAAATCTCAACGAGAACAAAGAACCATGAAAAAGAATATTCCTTGACATTTCCACACAATAATATCAAAAAGTTAATTAACATAGGGTCTTCTGAAAGCAGATATGTGGTAGGCTGATCTATGGTGAAATAAGACTTGGATAGGTTTTCAGTTTAAACCAGCTGAGAGAAGCCGGTCTTGTTTAATAATTTAAATGCTCAAATTTCTTGAAAGCAACTAGATGTTAGAAAGAAAAAGAGAAGCAAGACAACATGCATATGTAATAGAGAATAGTTCCAGCGAGGAGAAAACATAGAATAGAGAAGAGGAGGCGGAGGAAGAAGACAAGAGTAGTTCTGCAGGCATGGGGTGTCATAACTTACAAGGTACCAAAAACACAAACCTCAATTCAATTCCACATTCCAACTCTCAATCAATTACAACAGGATCTACTTAGAGATTGAAATCCATCTACCAGCCAGCGTTACAGCATATTTCTAAAAAAAATAGTAACTAATGAAGGACTAAATGCTAAATTAAGCTTATTCCTATGTATCTAATTACTTGGCATTAATGAAACTAATGAAGAATTAAATACATAATTAAGCATATGGAAAAAATGCCCTAGAAACAAGATGTTTTAAAATACGTAGGAATAAAATATAGTACATGACAGGTAAATTTAGTAATAATAGGAGTGTAAATCAGGATAGACTTAGGATTGGAGAGCAAGAGATAATTCAATGTGACTATTTCTAGTACTTTGGTTCAATAATTCATAACAAGGGAGAGATTGAGGAGGATGTCACCCAGAGAATTAGAGCAGGTTGGGCAAACCATAGGGGTGCATCTGGTCTTTTGTGTGATAAGAGAATATCACTTAAATTAAAAGGAAAATTATATAAAAAAAAAAAGTTGTAAGGCCAGCTATGTTGTATGGAGCATAGTGTTGGACAGTCAAGAAGCAACATGTTCAGAAAATAAGTGTGGCAGAAATGCACATGCTAAGATGGATGAGTGGAAAAACTATAAAGGATAGGATTAGGAATGAAGCCATCCATAGAAACCTAGTAGCATCTCCAATAAGTGATAAAATGAGAGAGAGTAGACTAAGATGGTTTGGTCACGTGCATAGAAGACCACCAATAGCTCCAGTTAGAAGAAGTGATTTGTTACGAGTGGAAGGGGCTAGAAGAGCTAGTGGTAGACCAAAAAGGGCATGGGTAGAAGTAGTCAGAAATGTTTAAGCAGTAATAATTTAACAGTGGATATGGCTATAAATAGAATGGATTGGCGAAACAGGATTCATGTAGCTGACCCCATCTAGTTGGAATAAGGCATGGATATGATAATTATTTGGCACTTAAATTACAATCATCTACCCAACTGAAATTATCTAGTGACACCAAAATCAAGTCAAACTATTAAGTTCAACACCAAAACTTAAGACATGAGAAACATGTTACGGCCTCAATGTTTTTTTGATAATTTTTGTCTTTTTAATAAATGTGATAACCTCAAAGGTTTATACAAGACACATTCAACTAATTTAACTCCTTAAGACCAATTCAACTTATTCTAATGACAACTGCCAATCAGGTAATTTTTCCATAAAACTAAAATTGACAGAAAATGAAAAATCCAAAAATTAGGAAACTACCACTTGAGGAGGATTGAGAGAAATATGATTTATTTCTCCATGGTTCTTTTTTTTTCCCAATGTCTGCATCAGAGAGAGAGAGAGAGAGAGAGAGAGACCTGCTTTAACTTTTCAGTTAAAAATCCTAGAAAATTAAATGCTTCTTCACTCTACCAGTTGCCAATGAGAGTTTGAAAGCTTGAGAGTGCTCTTACTCTTGTTTCTTTCTGTCTAAACACAAATAGCAAATAGAATTCGGAATAATTTCCTATAAGATATACCATTCATCTATAGACCTAATCTACCGTTCATCTATGTTTGCTTGCTATGCACAGTTGGACACTCTGTCTTTTAATGTGACGATCATGCTTAGTTATTCCCACCCAATAATACTTAACCATGTTCCACGATATACTTAAACATGGAATCTCAAAATTTTTAAAATAATGAGTAAAATCACCTAAATGGTCAGTCCCATAAGAACAAACAAAGAATTGGAGCCAGCACCACAAATAACTAATTAGTGCAAGTAAATGCACAGCTCAAACCAACTTGATAGACATAACAACCATGAAAGGAACATAGAATAGAAATTAGAAACTATCAGCAATCAATATTTGACACAAGATCAATAAAACATTACTGAAAATCCCAGTGAAGATTAGGTGATAATCCCAAGAGAGAGAGTTTCTGGAACCCGGTGATGGAAAGGTTTGAAAAAAGATTGGTATCCTGGAAAAAGAATTACCTCTCTCTTGGCGGGAGAATTACATTAATTAAGGCCACGCTTGCTAACTTACCCATCTTCTTCATGTCGGTGTT